ATAAGAACCAAGATGCATTATGTAAAGGTACAATTCCCAATGAGAAATGTAATTGTGTTGTATACCTACAATGTACCGATAAAAGAATTTAATAAAAAAAAATAGTTGAATGCCAGCAGATCTTTCAGTTTTCCCTACATGATGATCAGAGCATCAATATCACTTTATGGTTTCTGAATGAAATTGGATATTAAAAAAGGGTCTTTCTTTGTGGATAGGTAAAGAAGACATTTTCTGTGCATGAACCATTAAAAATGTATTATCTAATAAAGAATTGGTCTTTGGTTTCATTTTGTTATTAAAGAGGGACCATATGGAGTCTTTGCCGGAAGAGATGCATCCAGGGGCCTTGCCACATTTTGCCTGGATAAGGAAGCACTGAAGGATGAGTATGATGATCTCTCTGACCTCACACCTTCCCAGCAGGAGAGTCTGAATGACTGGGACTCTCAGTTCACTTGTAAGCATTTTTAAAAATTGTTTCTAGATCAGATTTCTACCAGTAATGGAGATTCGTGGCAGAGCTATAGTTATTACTAAGCAGCCTGAAACTTGGCTGTGTTTTGGCAGGCTTCTGAACCTTGGACAGATCAAGTTCATGGCTTGAAGGAATGGTAGCAGTGCTGAGTCACTTGCTATGATTACTTACCAATTTTCATCTTCTTCTCTATAGAAATTTGGGTTTCTGGTTTTGATTTTTACACGGAACTTTACGTTGATTCCATGCTAGGATTTGGGTGTTTAGGGGAAAGGACAGTGGCCCTCTTGGCTATAGAAAGAGAGATTTTGTATAAGCCCTCTCTTGTAGAGCTTGTGGTTTAAAAGCAGCCCACATCTCACTTGAAGAATGGGAGACTTGTGTTCTGCAAAACAGCTTCTCTTTGAATCTAATTGAGCCTGACTATAGGCCTTATCCACAAATGATGCTTATAATCTGCCCAGCAACAATGGTGTCTGCATTTTAAAAAAAGAAAAGAAAAAAGGAGACACTTGTTCCTGGCTTGTGCTATGGGATATCTTAGAGAAGGGCTACAAATGAGGGGTTAAACTTTAAATCTTGAGAATTCAGGAATTAGCTTCTGCTAAATCTAAGTCCTTTGGGTTTAATGGTCACTTCAGCAAAATTTCACTGCTATAAATTTGAATAATTTTCTTATATTTTAAGAAAGGTATGTGAAGGCCATGACCATTTCTTCGATGAAGATTTTTCATTTAAAATGGAGCTTTCTATTTACTGTTCTTTATAATCAGTTAACTATTACATGCTCTTTTGGCTATATCCAACCATTTTCTTTGAAAATATTGCTGATCTCAGAGAGTTTTGGGTTAATAATTAGCCAGATATGGCTCTACCTTTTGAATTTGGATCTGAAGTAGACCAAGGGTAGTGGCAGGTCTTTTTACTTTGAAAACATAATTCAGCTACCTAACATGGTTGCTAATGTTTGCATCCCAAGGATGCCTTTGTTGTGATAGAGGTTAATGAGTTGTATGAAATAAATAACATGCAAAGCTCTAATTTCTAGGGTTTGCCTTCGTCAGAGGGGGGGAAAGTGATTTTCCCTCCTTAAACTAAGGATTACCCCCGCAAAACTATTGTGACACCTCAGCTACACTCGAAGCTGGTGTAGATTCGATTCCCCTTAGTACAGGCTTCCCACCTGACTTTTATTTGTCTTGCACCACCCTGAGCAACTCAGGGACCTTTATGCTATGTTTAAATAGGGAAGTTTGGATTGTTACCAATGATTATTTCTCACAAAAGCAGCTCTGCTTCTCTGGTTGGATAGGTTGTTTGCTCCTCTTATTACTACCCATATTCAGAAAGAGAAGACTTGGTCTTTAGTTTGGCTGCAGTGATTTGTTGCCTCTTGTTTGCACTCTTAAATCTGTTGTCTCCAACATCTCCAGTCCTCTTCTGGCTCTATTTCCACATCCTTTACCCATAGTGTTTTCCTTATGCTGGGAAAAAAATTCTGTCTCCTACTACCTTCTCTGACTACTAGACCACATTCCTTCCCTTCACTATCTCCCCAGCCACTGCTTCATTTCCTGTCTGTGCCTCTTTCCTCACTCCCTACAATGTGGCTTCTATCCCTAAAATTGAACTCTCTCAAAGATTTCCATGGACCTGCTTCTTACCAGTTCTGAGTTCACTTCCCAGTCCATGTTGTGGCTCTCTGGTCATGTGCCCCTCTGGAGTGGCTCCCTTGACAGAGTCCTCATTTTGATCTATGGGCTATCTAGTTTTCATTTTATTAACTCATATTTTGAGATTTCTTTCAAAGTGTCTTATATTCTTCCCATTCTATTCTTATGGACACTACCCTACTCCTGACCCTGGTTCCTTCACATCTGGCTTTGCATACTAGCCCCAGGATCGCCCTGCTCCTAAGTTCCCTTTAATGAATCTGCTCTATATATCACAGTGATAATATTGTTGTCACAGCACTATTTTGCTGTGTCATTCATTTACTCATAATACTTTCAATGCCCTTTGCTACCTATAAGTTCAAATTCCTCAGGCTGGCTTTCAGGTCTTTCATAACATTCCCCACACTGGGAAACCTTATCTCCTACTATTTCCACACACCTGACAGCTTGGTCTCTTAATTGCTTTCCAGATATGTTCAGTCTTGCCTATATGCCTTTGTACATAATATTTTTGTTTTCATGAAATATCTCTCACCAAATCCTTCTACACATTTTCCAAATCATATCCTCTTCCATGAAGTATACTGCAGCCCTTTTAACTCATAAAGATATCTGATTCTTCTAAATACTCTCTACATACACAAATTGTTTTGACATTACCTTACATGCCTGTTGCCAGACATTGCTTCCTGTTTTATGTTTCTGTGTTTTAAACAAAACTGTCATTCCTTTTTGTCAAGGACTGTGGTACAAACCACTTTTGTATCCTTCAAGAAACCTACCACCTTGCCAAGTATATTGCAGGCCCCTAATAAATGCTTTTAAATGAAATGTAGTAGTGATCTTTTATAAAGCATGAGACTGACCATTGGTGTTTTCTTTTCTACCTCCAGTCAAGTATCATCATGTGGGCAAGCTGCTGAAAGAAGGGGAGGAACCCACTGTGTACTCAGATGAGGATGAAACAAAAGATGAGAATGCTCGGAAAAATGATTAAAGCACCCAGTGGAAGCATATCTATTTTTGTATTTTTCAGAACCATTTGTAACATTCCAGTCTGTCTTTAAAACATGGTGATTTCAATATTTAGGAAAGTTTGAACTTGCTGTAAATTTTTTAGTTAACATCACTAGTGACACTGATAAAATTAACTTCTTAGACTGCATGAGATGTTTATATGTCACAAATCTAGAAAGTGAACTGCAGTGCTATAATGCAAATGTTAATACTGTTTTTCTTCTATATGTAGTTACTACAAGCTGAATTTAAATTTTTTTTTCAGAGTGACAGATAAGACTTGGTTATTTCCACAGACAGGTAAAAATGTTAAATGTGCACCAAGAACAAAGGATCAACTTGCAGTCATGATATTTTCTAAATAAATCCTTTTTATTCAATTGACTTAACTGCATGATTGATCTACCTCTAAAGCAAATCTGCAGTATTCCAAAGCCTTTGGTATAAAGACAGCCGTCTAGTAACAAAAGGAAATCTCAATGCTGGGCTCAATTAGGAGAAATATTTACTATGTTTCTGGACCACTTTGTGGTACTGATCCTCCTATAGCCATACAAACAGCAATATACAGTTAGGATTAAAACAAGATCTGAACATTTACAAGACAGCCTTGAAAAAAAATCCCTAAATACATGAAGAAGATTGTAGGACTGGTTTCCCAATCTCCATGTTCTTAGCAGGGTAGTGGTTATTTGACAACATGTTAAGTGCAAGAGGGGCATACAGAACAGGATCAGGTTTGTGCTTTCCTGAGAGCCTATGTTCACACCCCTGAAGAATGAGGAAAGAGTACATGTCACTAACCAAGTGATTTTTTAAATATATTCATAAGGTAACAGTTTCCTTCTGTCATTGTAAAACTAGCCACTTCTAAAGTAGTAACCAAGTGTCTAGGTCTTGGATAGTACTCTTGGTTAACACTAAACCTAGCTTAAGTAGACTCTACAGTTGTATGACTTTGTAAAAATATTAAATGAACAAGTGAGGTTGTAATTGTAGTTAAATAGTCATTGTATTTTCTTGTGAGATGTGTTTAATGGTTTTACCTCAAATCAGAAAAGAAAATGAAGTGCTTTGGTGAGTTAATAAAATGATTTTACCCAGTGTAGTGTGGTCGTTTCTTTTTAACCTTTAAAACCTTATTCTGGGCTGAGGATTTAGCTCAGTGGCACCATGCCTGCCTTGCAAGCGATCCCCAGTACCGGAAAAAAAAAAACAAAAATACTTTATTCTAAGAAGCCAGATTCAGTTATTTCACTTTAGCTGAAAGTTCAGTTTCACATTTTTTAGTCCATATTAGAAAGTAAAGTGCTTTTATTAACTTAATTTTTAATTTTGTTAGTACATGTTTGTAGTTCATGCAGTTTACAATCATCTTGGGGAATGGTTACATGTTCATTGAGTGGATTCTTTGTATTTCCAAAAGGAACAAGTTTAGAAGGGCATATCTTCATAGTCCCACAATAAACCAAAAATCACTTTGTCCTGTTAAGGAATAGTAAGTTAATTTTTTTGTGTGTGACTTGTCAAATTCTTTCTCTTTAAGTCAGAGCTCTTTATAAACTAAAGTCTGTAGCAAGGTTTTAAAGAGTAATGTTACTGAAGGCATTGTTATTACAGATTGCTGAGAAAAGGTTTTGTTTTTGCTTTGATGTGATCAGGAAAGCATCAGGAATGTTTATAGTAATATTAATTCACCTCAGATCAAAAGAAGGATAACAGTTCCATATACAGTCAGTTGAATAAACATGGACAACCTATCCATGCATGAATATTAGTGTTTTGACACTTTAACATTGGAATTGGCAGTGTTTTCTTAGGAGAGATGTACTCCCTTAACCAAAGAAATCTCAGTTTTTCACTTTATGTGTTATCGAAGCACACTGCACTTGTTTTCTAATGTCCTCCCCCTCCCTGCTAGATTTCACTCAACAAATGTTCGAGTGCCTGTTTGGTGCCAGGCACTCTATTATGCCTTATCCTTTGGAAAAATGGTCAGAGAGAGAAGTTGGGCCACCTCTGCAGCCTGAGGTCTCATTTAGATGGGAAGATTAAACTCCTTTTACACAAGACAGGTTTACCTGTTGCCATGAGAACAACATCCAGAGCGTAGTTCAAGCTTCAGGTCCAATAGCTTGTCTTCCATAACACATTGTGTTGATTACATAAAGGGTTATTACTAGAAGGCAGGACTTTCAGCCAAAAACTTAGCCAGCTAGGTATATGAAGCCATATTATGAGAGAGAGTGGTTGTTCACCACCACCAGGAGTCTAGCCAGGGAGGTGTCAGGTTAACGTGCTCCTCACCTACTGTCATCCAAACAGCTGCAGACTCTGTTCTCAGTACCAGCATTGGTGATTCACAAGCAGCACCAGCTGTATGTTTTCTGGATCTGCCTGTCTGTGGCTTCTCAGTATGGTGTAATGTTCACTTCACCTCATAGGCCAAGTTTATATGTAAATCCTTGGTAAAGAACCAGCATTCATAACATGCCTTAACTGTTTCAGAAAGAGCTCTTTGAATCCAACAAGTACCATTTCAGCTCTAGAGTACCCAGAGTTTAAGGTACAGTCTGCCTTTGTTACATAATACTTAAACTAAGTTTGCTGTTTATTTCATGTATAAATACGGTTAATTCTTGAGTGATCAAAGACTGATTATTGATGCTATTATTTTCTCTGACTAGACTCCCCATCCCGAACCTATAATTAATTATTACCTAGTACTTAAGGGATGAGGTGAAATTCCATTGTCAACTTTGCTACCTTTTAATAGCATTGATAAAATGTACTGAAAGATGATTGTAAATCTAGATATAATTTCAACCCATCCAAAGTAAAAACAAAATTCTGTTCTTAGGTTCTGTGAACTCTGACAGTTCCCATAAACTCTCATCACAAAGGGAAAAAATTACATAAAAATAATACTAAAACTAGACATCTATATTTCCACAAAATTATTATGGCTATGTGACATTCTAACCAATACGTGTGGTAAATGAGCAAAAGTTTAATGGTCACTGCAGCAATTTTATTTTTAATATATATGAAAATTAAGTGTATTATTTCTCTAACAATGCAAATTACAGAAGAACAACATTAGTAAAATGAAGCATCCCATACTACAGGTAGAAACTGCCCTTCCTTGGAAGTATCAGCAAAAGAAATGAACATTTTAATTAGCTTTGCAACAAATAAAAATATATTTATTTGGTTCTATTTTCAATATTACCAGGTTACATTGCCTTCTACCTGAGAAATTTAAATGAATTAAAAACATTGACAGATTTTTAGCTTTCTTACAGCACTATCAGCAGCATATACAATGAAAACACCTATTTTAAAAGACAGAGTTTAAAATTCAGGGCCATATTTAATAAGACATACAAAAAGATATGAGAAAATACATCCATACCACTTAAATAACAGTGCAACAAAGTATAATATTAATTAAGAGAAAATGATTATAATGGTTTCAATTCTGTTTCATTCCTTACTAAGCCATTCGATTGAAAAGTACAGAATAAGTTATTCTCTTCCTCATTCAAGCCCCACACAAAGAAGAGGCTGACCCAAATCTAGAATTCTTTACCACGAGATAGGTATAAAACTCCAGGCTTGTTCAGGATGTCAACATAAAACCAGTATTTTTACTTTCTCCTAGCTCTGAGGATGGTTTTTAGCAAACAAATCAAACAAGACAAAAATGTTATATAAAAATGACTTAGCACCAGTTCTATTATACAAAAAATGCACATACTGTATTCTGTAATTTATTTTTATTTCTTTACTGAGCAGAAAATTATTTCCATGCCAAAAGAAACTGCAAAGAAAATTATCAAGGGACGGAAGGGCTTGGGGTGCAGCTGAGTGGTAGGGGTTCCATCCCCAGCACCATAAAAAAAAAATTCAAAACAGCCTTCCCGCTTTCCAACACAAACTCATAATTTTTTTTGTTTCAATGGCATAAATCATGAAAAAATAAGGAGACAGGTTTTCACTGGAGAATAATACCTAGTTACCAGAAAATTTTCTGACAAAATACCAGCAGTTAGTAGTTTAAAAGGCTACTCTGGATGATGGTACTTTGAACATGAATGGTCGCTGCTAGTCCTCAGAGGAGAAAAGGCACTCACCCCAAGAGCAATTTTTCAGATTTCAGAAGTCAAACCTCGTTTTCACAGCACAGTCACTGGCTTGAAAGTGGGATGGAACACAAGAGAGCCAATAATAGGTTCTTATCTTACTAGTAATAATCATGATCTCTGATGATACAACCATTTCTGAGGTTTTGCACATCCTGACTACCTCTATTAAAATGTGACTAGGAAGATCAGTGAAACAATTTGTGGTTTCTACTTTAAATAAATGAGGTTCTGTAGCCACTTCAGATACCAGGTTGCTCAAGAGGCTGGTTATGGGCACACACTGTGTGGCATTATTCTGGATAACCACACTGACTGGCATCCTACCTGGTTCTATTAGCTGGTGCTTTTCTACAGAATACCAATTTAAGACTGTGAAATGAATTGTGTCATATGAAAATGTTGTTCTCCACTACTTCTGTGGATTAAAATCACCTTTTCCTGTTACAGGCAATCTTGAATCTCACTAATGTCTTCAAATGCCAGGTCAGGTATAGCTTTGTTGGGAAAATAAAGTCATTTACTGCCCCTGAGGCCCTAAATCCAATATAAGGCAGAATAAATCAGCCAAGCTTTTTATAGAACATGCACTGCACTAAGAGGTAATTTTTTAAGAATCTATAAAATATCTCAATTTAAAAACATATTTAAGAAATCCAAAACAAGTAAAAAGATAAATTGTTTATGTTAGAGTTTACAAATCCTGTATACATACAATTTTTCCACAGCTAGAAAACTATGGCCTTTTCTCTTAAAATCTTCCTAACTCCATGGCACTACTGAGGATTGAGGAGGCACTTGTTACTATTTTATAAAAGTCATTTTGGGGATACTCAGTGACTTTTTACAAACTGATGTCACCCAACCCTGAGCAAAAGGATTACATAACTTGAAACTGAATACCTATCATGTGCTCTCTTCCCAAGTGCCATTATTGGTGCCCCTAAGACCTTCAATATTTCCTTTTGGAAATATCCCTGGTTATATCACTTCAATCCTGTTGCTTTTATAGGATGGAAAGACATGGGGATCATTTTTTAAAACTCTGCTAATGAGCCCCTGACTGTTTAAACTTCAAAGGACAATCCTAGCCCCTTTCAGATACTTCCAAAACTTTGTCTGTAAAAGGACAATTCTTTGACTACTATGAACACATCAATAAGATTAATTTACTTCTGGTGGGTGCTCATGAAATCCTTTAATATCATGAAGATGTCTGTAACATATTCTAGCTGTTACCTCTCTTTTTGCCTACAATTACTAAACAAGAGTCAATACAGTTTTTTACTGTGTGTGATATTTCTGACCAAATCAAAGAACATGCAAAAGGACCCTTATTCATTCACTACTGTCATTTTTGAAGATGAATAATGATGATGATGATGATGATGATGTGACAGCTAAAGAACCATAGAGGGCTATCTCAATGTTAATCTGCTCCTTCACTGGCACCAAATTAAAGCTGTAAAAAAAAAAGTTTATCTTGAAGTTTTGCAAGTGCATTGTTTTACCAAGCTTCAGAATCTGGAGGTTTTATATTTCTAAAGCTTGCCAACACACCTGCAGTCATTTTGATCTATGCTTTAAACTTTGGCAAGGGTTTGCATTTGACCCTGTGCAAGCTCTTGCTCTGTAGTTGCTAACTACATAGCTATATTTGGTTTAAAATTTTTTCTGTTTATGAGTTGTTTATTGTAAATATGGGTGTTCCTGATCAAACTTCCCATCAAAACATTTGAAAATATAAAGGACTAGTGTAGTCGTTTCCTAAATAGCTTCCATAGTCAATGTGCTCGTGACTGTTACGCCTAATGTAATAATCAGAATTGAGCATGAAATCTTTAGAATTCTCATGTCTTTTAAGCCTTCTTGCATCCTGGTTATATTCTGACTTCCAAGAACTATCTCTTCTTTTGGGAAAATATCCCAAATATAAAGCATTAGAACTTTTTGATGATGTTATTGGCACATAAGAGGGTCTATAGTTCACTTTGTGGTCCAAAATTCTACCGCTAACCCTCCTCTTCTTCCTTGTGATTTCTTTTAATTGATCACTGGAACTGAATTCATGGTAGTAGCCTTCTTCAAACAAGTAGTTAGATGTTAATTTTTCCCTCTTTTTGCTGTTGCTCTTCTCATCTCTAATAGAACTGCTTTCATCCTCAAGCCATGAGTATCTTGGTTCATACTTAGACCTCTTGCCTGGTGTCCCAAGCTTGTATTTGGAGTATTTTCCCTCACCATCATGTTTCCACTCTGAATGCAAGGTCTGCTGACTTGACCTAGATTTTTGTTTACAAGTGATGATTTCATCATTGTCAAGAGTTTCTTCTTTAGGGGAGCTACGATATATGGTCACAGATTCCTCTTTCTCCTCTTCATTTATGCTAAGAATTTCACTGAAGCACTCAGAATCACTACTAATTTCCTCTAAGAAATCTGTCAACTGCAAATCCAAGGCTACTGATCTGAAAGGTGAGGAAACTTGATGTCTCTTTGTGGATTTGGAATCACTGGCTTGGTGAGTATGAGTCTTTTCCAAGAGATGCCACTTTGCATCAGTTGGGAACAGTTCACCACCAGCTTCACTGGCTGTATCCTTGCAATCATTTTTAAATCTCTTAGCACATTCTTTGTTATAATCGACTTTTCCTCTCTTTTGTGATTTGTGCTCAGGATCCTGTATGCAAACCGTTGACCAGTAATCATCGTCCTGGGTGTGTTCTCTTCTTTCCAGGTTTTCCATTTGGCTCAAATTGGTTGAGGGATGCCTTTGTTTTCTCAAACTGATCTGAAATCCATTCCCTTTAACATGGACATCCCTCTGCCACTGACATGTACTTGTTATGTGACTTGCTTCTAGGCAGATACGAGCATATTTTGGAGTCTGATAATAATTTAATAAATAGTCAATAAATTCATCTGTTTCATAGATCTTCTGTTTTCTGCCATGGTCCCTCTCAGATAATCTGGAAGAACAGGGTTTATGAGAACTGTGGTGGTCCTCATTTTCAAGAGATTGACCTTCAATCATTGTCATTTGCAAGGAATCCTGGTCAGAGACCAAGCTGTAATTGTGTCTGTCAGTTAATAATTTTCTTGTTCTCTCTTTTCCAGTAGAGTATCTTAATTTCTTTCCTCCAAGACAATGGGAAGATTTATGTAAGCGACTCCTAGTACTTTTCCTCATTTTTCGTTTTTGTTTATTGTCAGACTTGGCAACCTGATATTCTGGCATTTCTTCTTGATTTGGAAGATGCTGAGCATTTAACTCTTCTTCCTTCCAAGTTTCTAGTGTGTTCCCTGGAGTATGACTGGCTTCAGGGCCTGTATCATCAACCTCCTGTAGGCAAAACGTTGTGGATCCCTTCAAAGAAAAAAGTTAAAAACCTCACATAAAAGGCTGAACAGATTAAAAGCTTCCAAAGAAAACCAGGCTCTCTCACATTGTTCTGAAGAGATTCAAATATCCAGGATAGATCCAAATTAGAACAATATTACACTGAGAAAATAGGAAGGAATAAATTAAATGTTTTTATCTAATATGGTCTGCTTTTACTTAGTCAGTGCCCATTCTTATATCAGAAGGCACCACACTTTACATAGATGTCAAAGTGTGCAACCCTCTTTTCGTGTGTTCAAAAATTGATGAGCTTACTGTTCCAGGAATTGTAATAAGAGCTAGAGAGACAAAGAAAAATAAGGCATGCTCTATAGCCCTCCCAGAAAATCCTAGCACAAGAAAAGGCTGATGGGTGTAATGTGTGCCTAAAATGGTCAACTGGCTTAAAAGATAAACTGTCTCTCTGCTGTGCATTCTAGCTTTTACTACAGTTTGTAGGTAAGTTGTTCTCTTAAGTTGTCCCACCTTACCTGTCTCATTAGGAAGCAAGCCATTGGGGCTATAGGTGTAGTGCAGTGTTAGAACACTTGCCTAGAATTCAAGAGGCCCTGGTACCATCCCCAGCACCAAAGGATAAAATAAGCAAGGCACCAAGTAGTAAATATATCTACGACTGTGGTCCTACCTGCGGCTATGTCTGTGATGCTGTCTGAACAATTGCAGAGCAAGTAAAGGTGTTGCCCACGCTGTCTCCCACCCCAGGAGGGTTTGTACTGTGCTCCCACTGGCACCTGTCACACATCAGGGCACACTGCCTACCCACTGCCTGGGAGAATTTATACTGAACATAAAGGTCTAAGTATTGAGGGAACCTAGAATTAGACACCACACCCATTTAAAGAGATAAACTCTTTACAACTCGTCACTCTTGGCTGTTATTAAGGTAAACTAAAAAAATCCAGCTAGCTTTATTATAAACATAAATGTGAGATTGTGGGGTCCTGATTTTACTAGGTTGATAGTCCATGGCCAAAGTGGCCAAATAGACATACAATTAAGGCATTCGCTCTTCATGTTTAAAAACACTAAATATGGATTTTAAATTAATATTTTGAAAGCTTTTCTGGCTTTTTATCCATGACATCTTCTGTGTCTGACTGTCTCTAGGAGCTCAGGAAGGAAAAGAAATACGTTCCAAATCTAAATTCTCCAAACAAAGCAATGGCTCTGTGAGGGAAGACATTCTCCACCAAATAGTTGAAGAGTGGACTAACATGAGCTTGCACAAAGTTCAAGGCTTTCCCTTCTCCAAATCTGTTACAGATGAATGGCCAAGTAAAGTTTGCAGAAGACTACAAACCTAGTACCCACACCTATCCACTGCTTTCCCCTGGCATTTCTCATTACATGCATTAGGAACTCAGAAAAGTAGATTAACTAGCTGAGTTGCTCTAGTAATAGAGCCCTGAAGTTTAGAAATGCAAAGTGGGGAGGGGGAGCCAGGGCTGAGACACAGTTCCTTTAGAGAATGTAGATATCCTTTTTAGAAATCCACAGGTGGGTTACTGGAGATCATTCAATTTAAAAGAAACTCCACTGGACACTCTGAGTCTCCCATGGAACTGATTTTCAACAGGCCCTGCTAATTGCAAAGGTTGGGGCTCTAAAAGGTTAGTACGTACCCAAATTGAAGAACAATTGGACAACAGCCTTACTGAAATTTTCCTCAGGAGGACATGGAGCAACCGAAGGGCCTCCACCCGCCTCTGAGCCAGCAGGTACTTCCTCTCCTCCCACTCCTCTGAAGAGTCCAGTTCCTGAGGCACCTCAGCTTTGGTTTTCACCTTCTGTTTCCTCTGCCGGTGGCTTCCCCTTTCCTTCAGAGCTCTCCTCCTGACCCTGGCCTTCTTCCTCTTTTCCTGGGCTTTCCTCTCTTCATCTTTTCTTTTTCTGGATAATGATTAAGATGAAACCATTTGAAAGATTTATTTTCAGGCCTTTGCTCCGCTCCACAAACACATACATCAGGGGAAGACAGATCAGTTAGGTTTCTAGGAATCCACCACTGCTAACCCCAGGACCTGACATAGACAACAAAAAAAAAAAACAAAGAACACTTTCAAGCATCAGTTAAGGGAGAAAGACACATAATTTTGTTGATCAAATACAAGCATGTAAAGGAGACATGCAAAGATGGGGGGAAGAAGGAAGGAGAGAGAAAGAATAGAAAGAAGGGAGGCAGGGAAGGAGGGAAAGAGCAGAGCAAAGAGAAAGGCGGGGAGGCAGGAGGGAAGGAGGAAGGGAATTCACAGGAAGGGCTTCTAGCCTCTATAGGACCCAGCTTTCAAGGTGATTTATTTTTTCTTGAGATCAAAACTGTATGTGGGTTGGTTTCACACAGGCATATAACGATGAGTCGAGGCTCTCAGAAAATCTTCAGGGTGAGAACTGACCCTTGGCACATATTATTTAACACAGACTACTATCATACTTCTGGTTTAGAAGAATATGGGTTTTTTTAAACTGCTGTTTCCTGAAAATTAAAACTAATAAAGTTAGGCCCTTATGGAAATGTGGGAAGGGGAAAGGGGGCAATTATTTGAGTCAGGACCTAGCCAAAACCCAGAAGATTATCCAAATGGAATGTCCAGTCTGGAATCTGGGGGAGAGCTGTACTTTGACTGGGCTGAAATTTCAGCCAAGTTTCCTAGATGTGACCACACCTAACTCCTGTAACCCTACCAGTCAAAAGTGAAGGGCACATGGAAGGGTACCCTTTATAACCTTTAAATTTTATATATATATATATATATATATATATATATATATATATATATATATATACACACACACACACATACATTCCCAGAACTGTTTTGTTGTTGTTGTTGTTGTTTCGAGACAGAGTCTCACTGAGTCACTATGTTATCCAGTCCGGGCTTGAATTTGTGATCTTCCTGCCTCAGCTTCCCAGAGTACTGGAATTATAGGTGTGTACCACATCCAGTTTGAATGTTATAATTTATATGCGAGAGGAAGGGCCAGGCAATAAAACTGGTTTTCGAGCCCTATAGTTCTAGCCCATCTGTTCCTTCTTGGCAAACCTTTGACAACCCAATAGCTCTTTCTAGGCTCTAGCTCCTAAATTTTGAAATAACAATAACCTCAAAAGATATAAATATGGAAGCTCCTTGGGGCCGGGGATTTAGCTCAGTGGTTCTGACGCCTGCCTTGCAAGCAGAAGGATCCGAGTTCGATCCCCGGTACCAAAAAAACAAAACAAAACAAAAAAACAAAAATATGGAAGCTCCTTTACTTGACAGAAAGAATTTGGGCCAACAGTGAAAACTGACTCACAAATATATCACTTTTCTGCATGTGGGTTACTTTTATTACTGACTATTTTATAGAAGAAAATGTTTTCTAGGCCTATTTTTCATTTTAAATTGGTAGGCTAGGTAATATTGGTAAATTATAGATAATCTGGTAAAATTTCTAATTGAGTAGGTTAGGATTTTCACTATAAAAGTTCCTGGTTCTTTTCTAAAAATCATGTCTTCCTAGACATCTTAATCTTGCTCATCCCATTACTACTCATTACTTGTTCTCCTTTACAAAAATATTTTTCAGCTTCTTATTTTCAACTGTTTTGTCATTTTGGCTTTATAACGGCACAGCTGAAAGATTGCAGGCTTCAGTGGAGTTTTCCAATCTCCACCAATACCTGCCCCCACCTCAATGTTATCTATGAAATCTAGGTATTCACCCAAAAGGATTAATCCATAAAACAAAAGAAAAGGCTTCTTCATGAAATTCAGTCTGCTCACCTTTCAGCTACTTCCTCTTCTCTTTTCTTTTCTTTTCTTCTTTCTTCCTCCAGCTGTTGTAATTTTAGCCTTTCCTGGTTTCTCTTCCTTATAGCTCCTTCACTGAAGTGTTTGGTTGTATCAAACATAACCTGCCCCAAAACAGTTTAGAGTTTGATTAGAAAGGCTGTTCAATGGACTTGGTATGTCCCAGGCCAGAGAGCTAAAAACAATATGGTACATGGCAATTCGAAACCAAATGAATTCAAAATGCCTTCTCTGCATCCCAGTATCCATCCTGTTCCACTGCTTCTTGCACATCTGCTAAACAGTATTTGTGGACACCAAGATTTTCTTGGTACAACCCTTAAACAAGTTTATCAAATTATTGCCTTAACTTTACACAATTTAATCTGTCAGTCATATCTCAATAAAGATGTTTTAAAAACTATGAAGTGCTTACATTACATAGGGCCATAGGCAACATCACAGTGCCAGCGTATGCACAGGCTAGAAATGCATTTCACCTCTGGTTTGTTACAAAAATCAACTGAGTTAAGCCTGGTGTGGTGGTGCAAACCTATAATCCCAGCCCTCTCGGAGGTTGAGGCAGGAGGATCCCAAGTTCAAGTCTCATCTAGAGAACCTTAGCAAGGCTGTCTCAAAATGAAAAGTAAAAAAGGCTGGGGATCAGCATGAAGGCCCTGTGTTTAATTCCCAGCACCTCACACACAAACAAAAAAATTAACTGAGTTAATATATTTTTTTAAATCTTCAAAGACAAACAGTAGTCAACAAGTATGGTAGGGAACGGGAGCAGGAAGCAAAGATGTAAGAAAAGTGACTTAATAAGAGATAAGATCTGACCATCATCATTACTAAACTACTTTTCAAATCTTAAAATAAAGTGGTTGAGATAGTTTGCTTAAAAAACAAAAGGAGGCAGGAGTACCTATTTAAATACGTGTGAGGATGACAAACAACAAATTCATAACCATGGTCACTTTTGAGGGGAGGGAGGTGAATGTGACTGAGGATTGTTACATGGAGGGGAGTACTCTCATCTTACTGGTAATGCTTTATTTTTTAAGCTGGAAGTGGTATATGGGTAGTTATAGTGTTTGCTATATCTTTTGTCTGATTGAATCACATACACACTCATAAAGCAGTAGCTGTAAGTCCAAATGAATTCTAAAGATTGAGAGAAAAAAACAGGACTTAGTCACATCTTTCCCACTGCTAGAGTAAGACTTCAAGAAGGACATGACCAAAGCATGCAGACCTCAATGAGGTGACATGACTGGATAGACAGACAGATTTTGAAAGTGAAGGATCCACAATCTTTAAGATTATGTTTTAGCAGTTTCTCTGACAGACATCCTGAAAACATAGGTTGTGACTCCAGGAGTCAGGAGGAAATAAACTGCCGTCCTTGTGGTTTCAGACTGCATCTGTCCCTTTCTCTCAGTAACTTGTCAAATATAGTAAATATATGAGATAGTTCCATAAGAGCTTCAAATAATCCTTTAAAGCCCACAAGAATCTGGGGCAGAGCCCCAGACTATAGTAACCATCACTTTAAAATCACAGCTGGGAGAATGCCTGAGAGCAGAAGATTGAGTGTTCAAATCAAGATGAGTTTTCTTCTTAAACATCCATTTATTAATCACAAAGGTAAAGACACAATTGATAGAGCCTGGTGACATCTAAGGAAATTTCTTTTAGATCCTTCCGTTCAACTTTCACTCAGGATAACTTGAGCAGTGGAAAATAAAAGATAGTTTGGCTACTTCTTACCTTAATGTTACATGCCAGAGCTTTCCCATCATCTCCCTTAAGCATCAGCTTCATTCCTCGAAGTGACTCCATGGCTTTTATGAAGTCTGTTGACTCCTGGTACTGGATAAAGGCCTCGAATGTTTGCAGACCAAAGCTAAAACTCCCAAAGCTCCCACCAGTCATCACTTCTCTGTAGGGGTCAAGCATAGGGATATCCACATTCTTGATTTTCCCAAAACTTTCAAAGACTACCCGAAGGATCTCCTCACATGGCTTCTCCCCACTGGAACCTTTAGGTGCAAACCATTTACAGGGCAAGCCTTCAAAGTATATGGAATCTGGGCTCTTATCATAGTCCTGCTCTTCAGCTCCATCACTTAATGAGGCCTCTTTTTCCTTAGGGAAGTGTTCCCACTCTCCCTGGGCATCTGTAGCCACTACTTTTAAGTCTGTTTTCAAACCATTTAGCTTGATGATCTTCCCATGTAACTTTGCCTTCAGGATCTGAACCAAACTTCGGGTTTCAGCCTCACCCTCAAATCTGATGAAGTCCTTTGTACTTTTAGAGAGCCGAACTGTGGTGAATTGGTCAGGGCAAATGAGATTCTTTAGTTGGTCAAGAACTTCCCAGTTAGAAAAGGGCCTCACAGGCTCTAGACTTTCTGGGAGCAATACACTGATCATCAATTTTGCTATGGGCTTGAGGTAGAGGTGCTGAGCAGCACAGAGCTCCGTTGCCTCAGAGTTATCATATACCACTGTGACCGTCATGGTATCCTCAGACCACCTTGGAGGGCAAAAGAGAAAATGTTGATAACAAATGGAGATTTGGATTGTGAAATGGGGCTAGCATTTCAGGACTTAGATCAAACTAATAGAGGAAAGTACAGTATATTTTGGGTAGAATTAAAATCATTATTTTATAACTCTTGGAACTAATGAGCAATTACAGTAAGGTTGCAGGATAACTTTCTTATATGCACCCAAATAGAATTTGAGATTTAAAACATGATATAATTTGTATTAACATAAAAATACTTAAGTATAAATCCAGCAAAATATGCACAAGATCTATATGAGGAAAACTAAAAAATTCTGATGAAAGATATCAAAGAACTAAACACATGGACCATGGATATGAAGACTCAAGATGTTAGTTCTTCTAATTTGATCTATAGATTCAATGCAGTCCCAATCAAACTCTCAGTAAGTTATTTGGTCAATAACATACTGATTCTAAAGTTTATATGGAAAGACAAAAGACTCAGAATAGTCAACTAAATATTGAAGGAGAAAAAATGTTAGAGAATTGACAATAACTGACATCAAGACTTACTGTAAAACTACAGTAATCAAGACAGTGTGGTATTGGGAAAAGGATAGACAAATAGATCAATGGAAGAGTAGAGAGCCCAAAAATAGACCTCCATAAATAAAGTCAACTCATCTTTGCAAAAAGGAGCAAAGACAATACTATAAATGGTGCTAGAATGATTGGACATCCACATGACCTTGGGTATGATGATCTTTTGGATGTAACACTAATGTTATGATCCATGAAAGAAATTATTGATAAGCTGGACTTCATTAAAATTTAAAACTTGTGCTCTGTAAAAGACAATGTCAAGGGGCCAGGGATTTAGCTCAGTGGTTCCGCTGCCTGCCCCGCAAGCACAAGGACCCGAGTTTGATCCCCAATACCAAAAAAAAAAAAAATGACAATGTCAAGAGATGAAAAAAGCCACAGAAAAACTATTTGTAAAATATGTCAGATTATTATAGTTTAGATCTAGAATCTCACCCCAAAAGCCTCATGTATTCAGAAGTGAGGCTTTTGAAAGACGATGGGATCATGGTGGGAGTAGGTAAATCCACTGATGAGTTCATAGCTGAATGTGCTGTTAGAAGGTAGGGACTGGTTAAAAGAGACAAAGTCAATGGGGCTGTGACCTGGAAGGGTGCATCTCCTTCCTTGGATTCTCCTTTCTCTCTCTGCTTCCTGGATATCATGGGGTAAGCAACTGTCCTCTGCTCAGGCCCTTCCACCATGCCCTTTCTGTTTCGGAGCCCTGCTGACTATTGACTGAATCCTCTAAAGACCGTAAACAAAACAAAACCTCCTCTCCTTTAAACGGTGGGTGTTGGGTATTTTGTCCCAGTGACAGGAAAGTGATTAAGACATAGATAAAGGACTATTATCCAAAATATGCAAAGAATACTTAAAATTCAACAATATGAGTACAAAGGATCTAAAAAATGGGCCAAAGACTTTAACACACCTCCCCAAAGAAAACAGGAAGATGTCAAAACAGTATGAAAAGATACTCCACATCATAAAATCATCAAGGAAATGCAAATTAACACAAAAATGAGGGACCACTAACAACAATTAGAATGGCCAAAATCCAGAACACAGACCACACCAAATGCTGACGAAGGTGTGGAACAACAGAATCTCAATCATTGCTGGTAGTAATGCAAAATGGTATAGACACTTTAGAAAACATTTGATTTTTTTTTACAGAACTAAACAAACTCTTCTCATAAAATCTAGCAATTACCTTATTTACTCAAATAAGGTAAGAACTTATGTCCATGTAAAACTTGTACACAATGCATACACAGGCTTCATTCATAATCATCAAAATGTGTAAGCAGCAAAGATATTGTTCAGTAGGTGAGTGGATAAAAAACCTTTGGTACATCCAGGCCATGGAAAACATTAACATACAGCACTAAGAAGAAATGAGCAATCAAGCCATGAAAAGGCATGGAGGAAACTTAGGTGCATATAATTAAGTAAAAGAGGTCAATCTGAAGAGGCAATATACTGTACGATTCCAACTATGTAACATTCTGTAAAAGGATAACTAAGGAGACAGTGAAAAAGATCAGTGGTTGACAGAGGTTAGAGGAGGGAGAAGGATAAACATAAGAAGCACAAGGGATTTTTAGGGCAGTGAAACTACTACATAAGATACTATAATGGTAAATATATGCTATTACATATTTGTCCAAAACCATAGAATGTACAACGCCAATAGTGAATCTTCATGTAAACTATAGATTTAGGATGATAATAATGTGTCAATGTGTTAGTTGTAACAAATGTATCACTCTGGTGGGAGATACTGATAACAGTGGAGGCAATGTATGTGTGGGGACAGGGGACACATAGGAACTCTCTATACTAGTGATGGCAAACCTTTAAAGACAAGTGCCTAAACTGCAACCCAAAACCCACTTACTTATCACAAAGTGCCAGCACTGCAATTAAAGCTGAGTACTGAGATTTTAGTTTAGGAAAAAACTTGTACATTAACATCTTTTGTCTTAAAAGAAAAACAAATAGCACACGTGCAATAGATTCACCCCCACTGCTCTATACCTTCTGCCCTATGAACCTAAAACTTCACTAAAATATAAAGTCTGTTAATAATAAAATATATTTATTTAAAAATATTTGTTTAATGTGTTTGAGAGTTTTCAAAAGGGTCCAATATACTATATCTCAGTTTCCTTAGAGACAATAGGATTTGCAGGAGAATTAAATTAATGAGTATAGGTGATGTACTTAGGAATTTCACAATAAACATAAGCTATGACTGTTATTTTTTAGTAATAGTGGTCTTACTTTATCTCATTTTATTTATGAAGCATCCTGTGAGTAGGTATTTTAAGATAGATTTAGTAAAATTAAATGGATTGCCCATACATTGAAATGTCAAGATTCTAAATCTTCAATCTATTGCACAATCGATCTCAAATGTCAAGTTTCATTTAAAACAACCTGGTAGAGGTTATATAGAATCAGGGAAAAGGTAATACACATGTATAACATTAATGAATGGACACCCAATTGATACTTCTAATCCATATGCTTGATTTAGCATCCTCTGTCCAGATTAATTTCCAAGTCTTAAATGGAAATATCTACTCTTGGCCTTCCATTCTGTTGACTTTAATTTGTCAAGTTTAAGAGGAGACAACCATTTCTAATGAGTGACACAGTGAATTTGCCCTCTACTTTGGGACTGGAAAAAAAATCCCAAAACACAAGTATTTGTTAGCACTCCCTATTAATGACCTCTTTCATGCTGTCCCAAGGTGAATAAGATCACTAAAGCTGGGAATGAAGGATTTTATCTTCTGTGTGTTTCATTTAAATAGCACTTCTCAATAAAGATTTTTTTTAAAGAGTGGATATACTTGGACTCCATGTAACCGAAGTTTCTCATTTAATGCCAACTTTATGGAGATTTAGACCCAAATTGTACACGGCCAGATGATGAAAATTCAAATACAAATGTACTACTAAATTTTGCTTTAAAAATACACCCAAAATATAGTCACTGTAAAATACTCAGGCTTATCAAGCTCCCCATTCATTCCAATGATACAGCCTTTGTTTCAAACATTGCTTCTCTTAGACTGACTTCAAAGCTTTGGTTACATTCTTCTAAACAGCCTGGATGGAGGCCAATTTCAAACGTCTTTTATCATAGATCTGATATTTAGAAATTATCAAAAATTATCTACAATCAAAACTGTTGGATAAAACAGACAACTATCAAGAATAAACTGATTTTCCCAAGAAAATTTAATTGCTGAACATCAAACAATGGCCTCTGAAAGTCCTAGCCAAAGCAATTAAGCAAGGGAAAGAAATAAAGGGCATCCAAGTAGGAAAAGAGGAAGTCAAATTATCCCTGTTCATAGACAACATGATATTATATGTAGAAAAACTAAAGATTCCACCAAAAAAACAGTTTGAACTGAAATGAATTGAGTAAAGTTTCAGGACACAAGATCAACATGCAAAACTTAGTAGCATTTCTATACAACAATAATTGATTAGCTGAAAAAGAAATCAAGAAAGCAATCCCATTTACAATAGCTACAAAAGCTATCTATGCATAAATCTAACCAGAGAAATGAAAGAACTCTAGAATGAAAACTATAAAACACTGATGAAAGAAAATGAAGAAAAAAAGAAACATCTCATGTCCATAGATTGAAAGAATTAGTATTGTTGAGATGTCCATATTATTCAAAGTGATCTATAGATTCAATGCAATATTTATAAAAATATTAGTAATATTATTCATAGAAACAGAAAATAACTCCTAAATTTGTATGGAACCACAAAAGACTGAACCAAAGCAGTACTGAACAAAAGAATAATGTGGAGGCATCACAATATCTGACTTTATACCACAAAGCTGTAGTAACTAAAATATGGTACTGGAATAAAAATGGACATATAGACCAATGGAACAGAATAAAGAACTCAGAAATTAATCCATGTATTTATAGCTAGTTGGTAAAAGCACCAAGAAGATACATCAGAAAAAGGACAGTCTCTTCAATAACTGGTGATGGAAAAAGTACGTATGTGTATGGAGAAGAATGAAACTAGACCCCTATATCTCATCATATACAAAAAATCAATTCAAAGTGAACCAGAAGCTTAAATATAAGACCTGAAACTATGAAGCTACTAGAAGAAAACAGAGAGAAAACACTTTGGGGCATTAGTCTTGGCAAAAGAGTATGGAGGTTATTTTAAAAACTAGAAACAGAACTATCATATGATACAGAAATCCCATACTGGGTATGAATCCAAAGGAAATGAAATCAGTATGTCAAAGAGACATCTAAATTTCTATGTTTACTGCAGTACTATTCGCAATAGCCCATATATGGTGTCAACATAGGTGCCCATTGATAAATAAGTGGGTAAAGAAAATGTAGTATATAAACAATGTAATATAATTCAGCCTTAAA